TTATTATTATTTTTTATAATTTTTTTTATATTTTTTTTATATTTATTTATTTTATATTATATTGATTTATTTTGTTTTTTTATTTTATTCAAATTAAATTTTATATTTTTTTATATAGTTTTCTTTTATTTTAATTAAATCTATTTTATTTTATATTATTTTTTTTTTTTAATTTTATTTTATTTGATCTGTTATGATTTAGGTTAATTGAATTTAATTTTGTATTCTATTTATTTATTTTATTTCTATTTTTTTCCTATTTTATTTTAAAATATTTAAATTTATTTTAGTATATTTTATTTGATGTTATTTCATTTTATTGGTTTTATATTGTTTTTTCTTTTTTTATTTTGTTGTATTTTATTTTAGTTTATTTCTCATATAAATAAAATGTTTGCAAATAAAATAAAATTGAATAAAATAAAAAATTCAAATAAATTAAAATAGAATTAAAAATCCAATTAAATTTATGAAATAGAAAGAGATAATTTAAGAAGTTGAAATATTCAAATATAAATTTATAAAAATTAAAATTATATGATTTAGATGTTATTAAATTTATTTGGGTTGCTTAGCCAGCCTCTGCGTTAAAAGTTACACATAATCCAAAGCTTAAGGTATATTTTCCCCCAGCTTGGTACACTTTTCTGCATAATCTCTGCCTAGCACCAGCGTTTATCGCGTGACATGAAAGTTTGCAGATAAGGAAAAGATAGCGCAGCGTGGGACAATAAAATAGAAAACGAAGAAAAATTCAAGGATTCTGCAAAAAAAAAAAATGCACGAAATGTAGACACAAAATGTTTTTGAGTGAAAAAACTAAAAATAAAAAAATCTGTGTGTGAAAGTTCTTAAAAGGGAATTTTGAGAGTTGAGTGAGTGTTTTGCAAAAGGATTTGGCTGTAGTTGTTGTTATTGTGCACATCACGTTATTTAAATTACTTCAACGTTCAGCCTGCTGCTCGCCACGCGTGTTTATGAAATTCAATTTTATTTAAATTTCATACAACTAAATGCTGGCGATAAAATATATATTTTTTGCATTCTCTTTTGTTTGCACGAAACAACAGCTTGCGGCAGTGGCACAACAAAGCTAAGCTAATAGAAAACCAGGCGAAAAAAAGTCTCGATAACAAGCTGCTGGACATAGATCGATTGCCGCATTGGCAATGAATGCATGTTAGCTGTGGTTGTGGCGCTTGTTGCATGCAACAAATATCCAAGCAAACATTTGTAGAATTTTCGCTTATTTGCATTGTTATTTTCGTTGTTGTTGGTGTGGCTAAGGCTGCTTCACTGCTTTGCCTTGATGTTTTTTGTTGCTACTACTGCTACTGTAAACATGCATAAATTATGCAAAAGTCGAGGCGTTTAGCTGAAATCATGTTGTACGGTTGTTTCTCTTGCATATATAAACCCACTGCCGTTGCTACTGTGAGTCAAGTGCTTGAGCCACAAGGCAAGGCATACCACCTAATGCCGTCACACATTGTTGCAAAGAAGTGCAGAAAATCGTATAAAAAAGCCAACGCCGTTGCTGCTTATCGACATGCGATCTTTGTGACACTTTTTCACAATAACAGCAACATTAACAGTAACCCTGGTTGCAGCAAACTGTGCTCTGTGCCTCTTTCCTGACCAATGGTATTTTTAGTGAAAAATGTTTGGGAAATATGTATGTAGTATGCAGCAGCTGCTGCTTAAAGCTTGCTAACAATGTTGCACGCTACCGCAGTGCGAGCAGCAACAAAAAACACATGTCTTTGCAATCTCTAACAAGGCACAATTATCGCGTGAGCAAGCATTGCGATGGTGAATGGGAGAGTTTTTGTGAGTAACTGCAGGATTTTTATCACATCAGTGAACCAGGAAACCTTAAACATTAACATAAAAAACATTAAATCATTAATATAACAAAATTGATATATTAAATAAAACAACTTATAATAAAATTAAGTAATGTAAATTAAAAAAATAAATAGATATTTTTGTAACGAATAAAAATAAAACCAAATTAATTTATTTTAATTTCCTTTATTTTATTTTATTTTAATTTCTTTATATTATTTAATTTTTTAATTAAAATTTGTTTTATTATTTTATTTTGTTTTGTTTTGTTAAATTTAATTTAATTTATTTACTTTAATTTTATTTTATTTTATTTAATTTTATTTTATTTTATTTTATTTTATTTTATTTTATTTTATTTTATTTTATTTTATTTTATTTTATATTATTTTATTTTATTTTATTCTGTTTTAATGTCATTAATTTATTTTACTTTTTTAATTAAGTTTGTTTTGTTTTGTTTTATTTAATTTTTTTAGTTTTATTTTATTTTCGTGACATCCTTATGTGTACTTTTATATACATGTTTATGCATTCACACTCATATATAAATTTTTATTTACAATACCCGCAATGTGATATCGACTGAGTATCGTATTGACCCGTTTATTGGAGCATGAAGTGCAAATATTTCCAACACAGTTGGGCAGGGCAATGTAAAAGGACCAAAAGTTAAACAGTTGCAAGTAATGGTAATGAAAAAAATTTGTAAAATATCAACATGTTGTTACGATAGCAATACGAACGTAACAAAAAAAAAATGCTTTAAAATCGGTAAAATGTTTGTTTGCATCGAAGATGTACTTTAAATGAGAAATTTAACACTTTTTGTCCAGCGAGCAGGCCGAAATTCAGCTGCAACTATGTTTACACAAGCATGCTGACTTTTGAAATACGCACACGTACATATATATGAATGAATATGTGTGTGTATCGACTCATATGTGTTGCTCGCCATCAGCTTGTTGTTTGCGCTCCGCATTGATTTATAGGAATTGGCCTGCCTTGCCGCGCCCCTATGTGGGTGGCGTGTAAAAAATTATTTCATTATAAAGTCATTAAGCAGGAAATTACACACACATACATTTGCACTTACATTGAAATTTATATTGCCATTTGTATGTAAGAATAATATTTATTTCAGCAAAGCTGAAGCAATTTGCACAGCTCTATCAGAGCTCTTTGTGCAAATTGCATTTTTTTCTGCATGTAATAACTGCGTAAACATTATAACGGTAACGCATATGAAGTCAAACACTAGCTCGTACATAAATTGAGTGAAGAAATTTAATTCCGGCGGCTGGCAGATTTTTTTATACTTTTAATATTCATTTTTATATATTTTTTTTTTTAAGTCGAATGAACAAATACACCAACACATACGCAAACACACGCACTCACACAGACAAGATATCAAAAAATACAATTTTTGATTACTATATTGTAATTTTTCTTTCGATATATGCATTGTAAAATGATTTGTAACGACTGTAGCGCCGTAAAGTATGCAATAAATTTACTTCTGCGACTAATGAGCTGTGGGCGGATGTGTTTTCAACTCATTTCAGTCGGCTGATAATGCGAAAATTAAAGGTTGAACAGGCTGAACAATTAATTTACAGTAAAGGAGATAGCTTGCGATAATTGAAACTTTCAAAAAAAAAGAAAAAAAAAAACAGAGTAAAAATAAATAAAAAATGGAAATAGTTATGAAAAAAGTTTAAAAAAGAATTAAAGAGCTTTAGCTTTATATAGGACTACATATATACCTTTCATAATGAAAGACTAAAGTACAAAATTGTATACCCAATTTCTTAAAAAAGATGTTAAGTTTCAAAATCACATTTTTGAGCTTTCAGTTGTATGGCAGCTTTATGCTATGATTAATGCACATTGAAAAAATTTATGTGTACAATATCTTCATTTGATAAATAATTAAAATGCAAAATTTCAAGTTTCAATTTACTTAAATGTGGTAGATATTGGTCAAAACTCCATTTTTGAAACATAATTTGTATGACAGTTATATGATATATGGCAGGTGCCTTGACAATTTTTAGTGAGTAGTGTTAAAGTGAAAAAAGTGTGTCAAATACCAAATTTCAAGTATCTGGCAGCTAAAAATTTAGAGTTTTAAGCTAAAACTCCATTTTCGAACCATAATTTGTATGACAGCTTTATTTTATACGAGTTTTATTATCTCGATTTTCATTCTGCAGTATTCCTATTAGAAAATAATTTAAAAAACAAAGTTTTAAGTTTCTTGCTACCAAATTGTTAAAAATATAAGTCAAAACTGCATTTTTGAACCATAATTTGTATGACGGCTATATAATATCTGGCATGCGCCTTGACAATTTTTAGTGCGTAGTATTAAAGTGAAAATTTTTTTTTTAAATACCAAATTTTAAGCCTCTGACAGCTAAAAATTAAGAGTTATAAGCCAAAACTCCATTTTTGAACCATACTTTGTATGAAAGCTATATGCTATATAGAGTGTAACTTGAAATGTTTTAGTGTGAATTATATATTCATTAGATGAGTATATAAAATACCAGTTTTCAAGTGTATAGCTATTAAAATTTTGAAGCTTTTTGCTAAAATCCATTTTTGAACAGTGATTTGTGTAGCCACTATATAACATAAAATAAAGTTTTTCACTTATGATAAGCAGATAACTAAATTACGTCTACATAAATGCTTATTTGCAAGATTTATAGTCAAAAATAGAATTTTTGAAAATTATTTTAAATTTGAAATTATTTTTAAAAATTTTTTGTAATTGTTACTGATGGATTTTCGGCAAGAGAATCATTATAATTTATTTATTTATTATAAAATGAAAAGCAAATTTTATGCCAAAATCTCTAAGCTGCTTTGAAATCCCACACCACAATCATTTGCCATATCGGAAATAATGGTTGTATGTTAACACATCGTATTATACCATTTACATACATACGTGAGAGACATACATAATGCGTGCACTAAATATATCTTTTTCTCGCGCTCTCAGCATATTTTCCAATTAATTGTGCTTTCGTAAATTTTCCTCATCATTTAAGTTGTCGTAACCACAATTTTTCACTCATTGTCTTTATAATTCATTTTCATTTTTTTTCTTTCTCTTCTTTCATTTGCTGTTATTGCAGGTTGTCGAATTAATTGATGCCGCAGCAATTAATTCCACCGCTGTGCGTCTGGATTGGGTTATGCATGTGAGTGTGACGGAGAAATATGTCGAGGTAAGCTGCAGCTTTTGTATGGTTTTATATTGTGTATATATGTGTGTAGCTTATTTTTACCACACGCACTGTGTCATTTCTTTTATTTATATGTATTGTGCCATCGCCTTAATTGTGCCAACGCATTTCATTTACGCGTATTTTTGTGATTTTTCCTTTATCTCTCATTTTTTGTGTGCTTCTCGCTTGCTCTTCTTTTTTTTACAGGGTCTTTATGTACGTTATCGCGATATAAGCGCCAATTCGCAACAATATAATATTTTAACTGTGTTAAATCCTTCGATTGAGTCGCACGTTATTGGCAATCTAAAGGAATATACGAAATATGAGTTCTTCTTGGCGCCTTTCTACCAGACGTTGGAGGGTCAGCCGAGTAATTCGAAAATTGTGCAGACATATGAAGATGGTGAGTTTAAGTAGAGTTTAAATATTTAAAGTTATGAAATATGCATATATATGAGAGTACATATTAATGTAGTATGTTTTTTGCGTTCAGAAAAAATTGTTTTTATTGAAAAATTTACGAAAAAAAATGATTCAAAGTGTTATCCTTAGAAAGAGGCTACTTTTTCCCATTTTTTCCGTAATTTTCTCTAAGAAATATGTCCTCGATTCTATTGTTGCTTCATTCAAAATTGTTTTGCATCCATAGAAAAAGCCAGTAGCCGGTGGGCGCCAGGTTCTTTTTCACCTATTCAATGTAGTTACAGCCACGTGGAGCCCCTCTCTCATTAAAAATTTTTCGTTGTTATTTGAAAATTACCATTTTATGCCTTTCGTTCATTTCTGACCGTTTTACATGGCTCAAAGCATTGGGTAACTAATCCGTCTTTAAAAATAGACTAAAATTTCGTTTGGTTTTAGCATCTGATTTCCACCACACCATGGTGGGTCCAATACGCGGAGCAGGACCTCTGAACTGTGTGTGTTTTTGTTTGTGGCGTCGATGTGGACCATGATGAAACGAGTTCACCAGACTTGCTATTGTACCCTTTTTTCTTGATGTCTGGATCCCAAGAGAAAATGTCTTCGTTTGATGCCTCTCAAGCAGCTTCAGTTCGCAATCTAAAATGCTTTAACCGAATGAAAACTGTTCTGAGTCACTCGCAACAATTCCAGGTGTTCAATATGCGTTTGACATGGATATGTTTCCAGTAAGACCTCACCTTTCTCATTTTCAAAAGATTCAAATAAATCATAGAGGGATCCTTAAACCAACAAAATGCTACCGATACCTTACCGACAAACTTTTGAGTAGCTCAGCTACTACTTCGCTATCGCTTTCTCTCTCTCTATCTCTCTCCCTCTCTCTCTCTCTCTCTATCTCTCTCTCCCCCTCTCTCCCCCTCTCTCCCCCTCTCTCTCTCTCTCTCTATATCTCTCTTTCTCTGACTGTCTGTCTATCTTTGTCTTTATGTCTCTCTCATTGAAAGTTTTGTCCAGGGAAAAATTGGGACAATCGACTATATGGGGCCAAATCATCAACTGCGAATCATAGAAAGAAGCAAATGGTACTCATTTGGTTAGAGGTTCGAATTATAAGATGGATGCATAAAAACCTGCGAACTATTAAGCTCTCAGAGCTTCTGGCGAGTCATTACGATGTGTGTGATCTGGCGTTGTCCTGATAAAATACAAATCACCAACTGTTGGGCAAAGCTGGGCGCTTCGGGGGTATTGCTTCCTTCAGATGGTCCAATTGCTGGCAGTTATGGTCCAAATTAGAAGTTTCGTCATAGAGAAGCAGTTCACCACGTACAACAAAACCTTCCTAGACTTCACTCCTAACTTTAAGAGCGTTTGTCCCGGCTCACTGAGCTTCGACAACGGACGTTCTCATTTCATTGTTGCTGAAAAGAGGATCCTTTATCAGTCACAATCCACCTCAGAAATGGATCCTTAACTTATGTTCTGTACATCGAGCTTCAATTTGTATTCAGTCTTTTTCAACTTACTCCAAGCTGTATATTTTTCCAATGTTTAGCTCCTGGGCAAACGAAGTAATTCTCGCTTGATGATCAGTCTCGAGATTTTTCAGCATTTTATCGACATTTTCGGCCTTCGAGACCAAATGCTCCGTAACGAATTCAGTGCTACTCTATCAGAGCCAGTTGCTTTTGCTGAATAGCGGAAGTGATTTTGGGATAAGAAAGAAATTACTTTAAGTTGCTTTCAGGCTTTAAAGACTCGAACTTTCACGATATCAGTGTTTCAGTAGGCTGAATATATCAACTTTTTATAAATTTATTTAACTCACTACTCTTTCCAATGCAACAGAAGGTCTAGCGATATTAAGAAATTTATATATTATCCAGAAATAATTCTCTAATTGGGAGCGTACGGGGCATTCGACACACATACGCGATGTAAAATTTCTTAGCACTTTTTTATTAAAATAGCAAAAAAAAAAAGAAAAAAATTTCGAAAATATACCGCTTATAAAGCCCAAGTTTAATTTTTTTAAGCCGAAAGTTAAGTTGAAAATACTTTAAAAGCTTAAAATGAAGTGGCATATGCACGCGAGCTAATCTCATACAACTTCTTATTTTTTTGTTTTTTGTTTTTTTTTTTTTGAAAGCACTAACAAATTGTTATCGCAAACTACTTTGAACCGGCCAACCAGTCAGTGCCAAGAGAAACTTTAATTTAAAATATTTAATTGGCCAAAAATTTTCCCAAAAACCGGCATATGAATGCGGTGTGCTGTTAAAAAAAAGTAGTGCAAAAACACAAAAAAAGTACAGACCAACACACACACTGATAAAAACTATATAAGCACACACATGACACGGAGAGGAAGAAAGCAGAGAGAGGATCAGCGGCGGATATGTTGATATATAAGTATTATACGTTTGTATGTATGTGCATACATACGAATTTATAGAAATATGTGAGTTTGTGCAAGTGCGTTTAAGTGCGTGTGAGGCCAATAACCGCAACCACACACACGCACGGCTGCACTCTGGCTACCGCCACTATTATCACGCCTCAGTTGCCCTCACCTTGCTCTCGCACACCTCGGCGCACAAACATTTATGCATATTTTATGGAATTTTCCACCAGCAACGTTTTCCGGTGAAAAATACCAATTTTTTACGCTGACTCGTTTTTGCATCGCAACACAGCAGTTTTGTTGGTACTCACCAGCGCCTACACATATGCAACATTTCATATTCAGACTGTTCATTATTAACAGGTTCGATGTGCTTACAGTCATCAGTGCTTTAACACACACACGCGCTTACCTGCATACACTTTTTAGTGTATTTTTATATACATATTTATGTATTTACAACTTTTTCAAACTTTTCCATATTCGCTTATTTATTTCTTTATTTTGGAATAATTTTTTTAACCTTTTTTTTTTTTTGCAGTGCCCTCCGCTCCACCGGACAACATCCAAATTGGCATGTACAATTTGACGGCGGGTTGGGTACGTTGGTCACCGCCACCGCCGCAGCATCATAACGGCAACTTGTTGGGCTATAAAATTGAGGTAAGTGGTGGTGTAAATGCGTTACTGCGAAGAGGACGAAAGAGCCTTTTTCCATAAACATGTGTATGTTTGCATGTTTATTGGTGTTTTTAGTTTATTTACAATTATTTTCCGGCAGCTCTTTTTTCGCATTAATATTTTATTTTGTTTTAACGCTTTTTTATTCATTTATTTATTTATTTTTTTTTTTTGTTATTCGGTTCTCCAACGTAAATGTAATTTTGTGGCTGGACGAGTGTGTAAAGTTTATGAAAATTTAATTTGAAAACTTTTTCAACACAACATGCATATACATATATACTGTAAAAATGTATATCTGTATGCTTAAATGTCGATATTTTCTACTAAAATGTCAGCAAGAGTGGACAGTAATGCTAAATTTAGCAAATTAAATTTTAATTATTTAAAAATGTGGAAAAATTTTGAGTTTTTTTTTGTTTGATAATACACCAAGTTTTGCCATACTACAAGGGTTTAAATAAAAAAAAAAATATAGTAAAATAATTAAATTAAACTAATTTAAGTAACAGAAATTGCAAAAATAGAATAAAATTAAATTCAACTGAATTAATTGAAAATTAATTAAATTAAATTAAATTAAATTGAATAAAACAAAATAAAATAAATTAAACTAAATTAATTAAAATAAATAAAATTCTACTAATAAGCTAAATGAAATCAAATCTAATAACAAATTTATATAAGAGTAAATACAAAAAAGTTTAAAATAATTTAAATAATAATAATATAATTGAATTAATTTAAAAATAAATAAAAAAACTGAATTAAATTGAATTAAATGAAGTAAAATTAGAGCAAATAAAATTAAACTAACTGAATTTAAATAAAATAAAACTGGAGAAAATGTAACAGAATAAAATAAAATTAAATTAAATTATGCTAATTAAATAAAAAAAAAATACTTAATAAAATAAGGTAAGATTAAATAGAACAATTTTTACTGAAATAAAATAAAATAATAAAATTAAAAAAATAAAAAGGAATTAAATTATATTAAATTAAACTAAAATAAAATAAACTAAATTACGTTTAAACATTTAAAATAAAATTAAAACCAAAAAAAAACAAATAAAATTTAATTAAATAAAATAAGATTAAATAACTTAAAATAAAATAATTCCAAACAAAATAAAAACCACATATAATAAAACTGGGCAATATACAAAAAAATGATATTAAATTAATATAAACTAAAAAATATAAAATAAATTACAAAAAAATTAATGAAATTAAATTATAATGAAAGTTAAAAAAAATGAAATACTATAAAATAACATAAAATAAAATTTAAATTAATTTAAATTGATCATATTAATTAAAATAAATTAAATTTAATAATTTGAAATAAAATAAAAAATTTAATAAAATAAATTTAAAATAGAATAAATTAAATAAAAGTATGTTATAACATTTAAAATAAAAGAAAATAAAATAAAACGAAATAAAATAAAGTACCATAAAGTATTACTAAGCAAAATAAAATAAAATTTAATTAAATAAATTAAATTAAATAATATACAATAAAATAAAAATGAATTAAATTAAATTATATTGCAGAAGTTCAAATAAAATAACATAAAATAAAATTTAATATAATTTAATAAATTAAAACAAATTAAATTAAATAATTTTAAATATAAAAAAATTTAATAAATTTAATTTAATTAAATTCAATTCAATTAAAGCAAATTAAAATTAATTAATTTAAAACAATATTAATAATTTTAAATAAAATTAAATTAATTTTGAAATAATTAATATAACTTAAAAATTAATCTTTCCCCCTCAGGTGGCTGCTGGAAGTACGCTTAAGGTTTTAGCCAATATGACACTTAATGCAACAACCACATCAGTGCTACTGAATAATTTAACAACTGGTGCTACATACAATGTACGACTGAATTCTTATACTAAAGCCGGTGAAGGACCTTATGCTGAGCCAGTAAGTAAAAATTGTTTGCCTAAATAATAAATTAATTAAAGTATTAGGAAATAAGAAGGTCATATTACTTACATATATACTTTTTTTTGAATGTAATATGAATTTTCTTATTTGAATTTTCTTACTTTCCATGCCACACTCCACAGGTCTCGCTCTTCATGGACCCCACACATCTGGTACACCCACCACGTGCTCATCCCAGCGGCTCACACAGCGGCATTGCCGGCAGTCACGGTCATCCTGGTGGCGCCGGTGCCATGGACGGTGGTCATTATGCCTATCACCCAGCTGGCATGCCGGACGATGCGGCAACCACAACCACACATCATAAATCAACGAATGTGGTGCATCAGACATGGTTTATGGTATTGGTGATAGTCTTTCTGCTGGCCATATTCTTTGTCACCATCGGTGTGATGGTATTCTTTAAACGACGACACAAGTTGACCAAGGAGCTGGGTCATTTAAGTGGTGAGTAGTGAGAAATACGGAAAATTATTTGGCGATTTCCTGTGGAATTTTAAGGAATATTAAAAAAAAATATATTTTTCATAACTCAGCAATTAAAAAATTTTTTTTGAACTTAAAATCGTTCAAAATCGCCTTTCCTTGTTTTTATATTTTTGCTCATTAATTCGTCAAACTTTCGCATTCTTAATTACGTTTTTTTTTTATATTTCCCTTAATATGTATTTCTTCACGTTCAGCAATTAATTAAAATTTGTTGCAAGATTGTTGGCTTTGCGAACGAATCTTTTTTTACGCTTGTAAAATTAATGGTTGCTTCATCTTTACTCATTTGCATTCGCGATTGTGTGAAATTCCATTTTATTCATGATTTCATAATTAAAAAAGGAAAAGTCGTAAATATATAATTTTAACGAGTCACCAAAAAGATTTCGCTTCGCCATATTTTATCATGCAATTCTCATGCATTCTTCTTCCTTTTCGTTTGCTCTTCGTTTCCACATCGCTGCCGCCTGCCTTGACTCAATGCAGTAGTCAGCGCCAACGAAATCACCGCACTAAATATTAATGGCAAGGATAGTTTGTGGATTGACCGCGGCTGGCGCACCACCGACACGGACAAGGATTCCGGCTTGAGCGAGACGAAGCTGCTATCGAATGCCAACAGCCAGTCGAATTATACCTCAGACGGTGGCACCGACTATGCGGAAGTGGATACGCGGAATATGAGCACATTCTACAACTGTCGTAAGGTGAGCACGAGTGGTAGTGAGAGTGAGGTGAACGAGAAAAATAATAATGAAAATGAAAACAAAAAATTGAAATTATGTTAAAAGCGAAAATATGTAAAAGATACTTTCCATTCATTACTCACTTTTTCACTGTTTCTTCATTTACTTTTGTTCCACAGAGCCCTGAGAATCCCACACCTTACGCCACGACCATGATTGTTGGCGCCTCATCGACGGAGACTACCTGCATGAAGACCTCTTCGTCGAGCACCGATCAAGATTCAGGCACGAACTCACCGCATTCCGATAGCAATACGCCACAGTGTGGAGGTGGTGGCGGTGGGGCAGCCTCTGTGCCAGTTATGCCAACTGCGGGCAGTGGCAAACACGGCTATCATCCATATCCGCCAGGTTAGTGCCATTTATTGATGGTATTTGTATGAAAATATAAATGTTTTGTGGTTTTTGTTGTGATTTTCTTTTGTTTTTTATGCCTTCATTGCTTTGCTTAGATTTAACTTAAATTCTCCTCTCTACATTTTTGGCGTATTTTTATTTAAATTTATATTGTTTAATTTAATATTAAATTATATTATTTAGATCATTTTTATTTATACTAGTTTAATATAACATTATGCCACTTGGTTTAATTTATTTTATTTTATTCAATTTATATTATTCCAATTTTTTTATTGTTTATTGTAATAAATTTTATTTCAAATAATTTTGTTTTTACTATTTTTTTATTTCTTATATTTTTTTAAATTATATTTTATTTTCTTTAATTTTGTTTTAATGTATTTCTTTTTATATTACCTCATATAATTTAACTTAATTTTATATAATTTTATTCTATTCTATTTTATTTTATATATTTTAATTTATTTTATTATTTTTGTTATTTAATTTTTTCATATTTTTTTTTAATTTCATTTTATTTTCTATTGTTTTATTTTATTTTTATTGTTTATTTTAATATATTTTATTTAAATTATTATTTTATTTTGTTTTTTGCATTTTTTCTTTTATTTCATTTATTTTTTTTTCCTTAATCTTATTTTAATGTACTGCATTTTATGTTACCTCATTTAATTTAACTTTATTTTATTTCATCTTACTCTATTCTATTTAATTTTATATTATTTTACATAATTTGATTTTATTTTATTTTTTCTAGCTTATTTTAGTTATTTTATTTTAATTAAATTTTGTTATTTTTTTTATTTTATTTTCTTTTCTGTTGTTTTATTTTAATTATTTATTATATTTTAATTTATTTCGTTTAATTTTATTCTATTTTAGTTAAATCTATTTTATTTAATATGATTTTATTTTATTTTGTTTTATTTTCGTAGGTTTATTCTATTTTAATTATTTTTACTTAATCTTTTAATTTTATTTTATGTTATTTTATTTTATTTTATTTTATTTTATTCTATTTTATATTATTTTTTATTTTATTTTATTTTAAATTATTAATATTCTACTTTACTTTATTTTATATTGTTTTAACTTATCTTATTTATTTTCTTTTATTTCATTATATTTTATTTCTATTTATATTATTTTGTTTTTATATTTTATTTTTTTAACTTATTAATTTTTATTTTATTTTATTTTCGTTTTATTTTATTTTGCTTTGCATTAATCTAATTTATTTTATTTTATATTATATTATTTTTCTTTGTTTTGTTTTGTTGTATTTTTTCCATTTTTTTTAATTTTTCCACTGAAATAGTTTCGTTTAATTTATTTGTTTTTTGATTTTCAAAATGTCAGATATTGACATGTAAATTTTCAATGTAAACTCCAACGAAGTTATTTGTTTTCACTAACTTGGCAACCACTGATTTCAAACGATTTTCTTATTTTTCATATCTCCCATCTATAAATATTACATACACATGATCTAGCCGAAGATTTGCTAACAATTTTGCTGTATTTTCCTTAGCCTGCAGTGTCCTTCCCTATTGGCTTTTTTAACTTTTTTTTAATTTTTCGTTTTCTATTTATTCTCTGTTATCACAGCATTCAGAGACTGCCCGTCTGCCTGCCTGACTGGCTTGCAGAGAAATTGCTTTTGTTTTCGCACTCGATTAGATTTGCTTAAAGAGATTTCGACATTTTTTGGGTTTCAACTGATATCCTTGATATGTTTTAAATCGTTTTTTGTTTTGATTTTTTCCTGGGTTTATATTTCAAATACAATACTAGCTTATATAATATCATTTATCTTAGCATATGTGTGTTTGTGTGTGCTTTCGATTTGCCCATTCAACTATCCGATTGCAATGAGAATTGCCAAGAGCCAGCCAAGTCTGCCAAAGTCGCTGATTGCTATTGACAGCTGCTTAAGAGCGCTTTGTTGGGGTCAGAGGCATGCGGCAGGGGTACCTTTTTATACGCCACGTTTTATTCAACTGATTGCATTGTAATTCCAACCCCTGCAGCAAGGATTTGTACACACTACTCTTTATTGTATTTAGCTCACTTGGTTTTTTTTCTTTCATCTATCACTTATACTCGTCCTCTACGTATTCGTACATTCTTTCACTTCACACTCGTGCCGCGATTGTGTGATTTGTTCAGTTGTTATCCTTCGCTAAGTTGGCATTTCTCGTATTTGCAAAATTAAAAATTCAATTACTTGCGGCAAAACTTTGACTGCATGCCTTACTTTCCGTGCCTTTGCCCTTCCGTACCCTTTATTCTTTTCCGCTATTGTAGCTGCTTTTTTCCTTGTTTTTTTTTTCTCTGATTTTTCTTCTCTCTACCATTTGGCCTTTGAAGTGTTTCCTGTTTCCAAGTGTTAGATAAGCATTAACTCGGCATTCATGGCTATCGCTTGTATTTGTATTTGTGTTTGCATGTGTGTGTGTGTGATGTGTGGCATGTGGAGAATTGAGAAATTGTTAATACTCGCTTTGACTATCGACCGTAGGCAATTTTCTGCTTTACCGCAGCAGTTAAGTTGTTCTAGATTTACAGCTGATAAATTGCGGTAATGCCGCATTAGTAATCTGCACTCCTCAATGCCGCTCCACATATGTGTATGTATGTATATGTCTATATGTATGCATGTATTTGCATAAGCACTTTAGTGTCACTTTTAGCTATTTCATTTCATTCGCCTGGGATTGTAGTCTGCAAAGCTTTAGCCACCACCAGCCGGCGGCAGTGAAAAAAGAATTTAAATTACTCGCTGGCATCCGGCTTAAAAATTCTGCTAATCTTGATTAAGAAACTCTGAAGCCTATACACTTTACTTCTAAAGGGTCGCTTACCTTTCTGGTACACTTTCAAGCATTCCTATGTCTCTAATTTTATGTTTTGATTTTTAAAGTTTTTAATTTAATTTTAATTTTTATTTTTATTTTCACTTTCATTTAAATTTTTAGGCTTGAAATAATATATATAAATGTTGTGTCTAATCCTCGAATATTCTCTATACTCATTTTCATGTTCCCTCCAACTTCCGGTTCCTCATCAAACAATAAATCAACCAAAAAATTTATGCGCAACGAAAAAAATTGATGTTCAATGTTGTTGTAATTGTTGTTGTGCTTACTACTTAAAATCAAAAACTAACAGAACAATTTAATTGGTCAGAATTCTTGCCACCACCACCAGAACATCCACCACCGCTGCCAAGCGGCTGCAACAGTGGTGGCGTCGGCGTCGGCATGGGAGGCAATGGCACAGGAGGCGTCATCTACGCGCCAGGCTCACCACAATCTTCACGCAAAAGCTCGAAGAGCGGTGGCTCGGGCATGTCGACACATCAAAGGTAAGTTACAACGCACATGTGACACTTTAAACATACTTGCAACATTCAATGATCGCATAACAATTTTTTTTTAATTTTTATTTAATGAAATTTGAAATTGTGTCTCCTTCTCTAACGCAGCGCTTTGAACTCTTCCATACACAGCAGCTCTTCGGGCGGTTTCTCAACGTGGGGTGTAGCGCCGCAATGTGTTGCCTCGCGGCCAACGGAGAATTACTACAACAATCCGTTACCCTGTGTGGGCGGCGCACAGAATCGTTACCAGATTACGCCAACCGGCCAACATCCGCCACCATTACCGCCATACTTTCCACCCGGTGCCGCGGGCACAGCACAATTACCGCCACGCAACATACATATCCACTACCCAGCGCCCAGGCATGCAATGAGCGAGTACCAGCCGACGGGCACGAATAACTCACGCTGTTCCAATGGACGGTAAGTATGTGCGCTGAGCGCTTTCGTTTTCGCTGTTGTTGCAATTTATTTTACAATTAGATTCACGGACGTGCAACATAAACTCACGCATTTCCTCTTTTTTTCTCTTACTTTCATAAAGCGCCTGCAATAGTTGTGACGCGCTCGCCTCACCACTCCAACCACTGCCCACACCCGGCGACGGCTGGTATCAGCCGCTGCAGGCGCACATGCCGTCCAGCGCCGGCGGCGCCAATCCCATTTATCAATGTTCCTCGGAGTGTTCAGACCATTCGCGTCACTCACATACGCACACACATACGCACGCTCACGCACATACACATCAGCCGCACCACGGTCAGCACCTGCACACGCATCAGCATCACACACACGCATCGTCAACGCATGCGGGCAACGGCAACGACACAATGCGCTCGGAGAGCAGCCAAGAGGGTGGCAAAGGAAATTATTGCCGTCAAAAGCCAAGTGGCGGCAGCAGTAATGGCGGTTACGCGGACATCAACGAGGCGACGGAACGCGAACACATGCTGAAGGGCGGTGGTGGCGGCGGCGGCGGCGTTGGCTGTGGCAATGGCAACACCAGCACGCTGGGCGGCAGCTCGTCCTGCGGTTATGAGGTGTTAGGCGATCATCGAAATTGCAGCGACTGTTGCAGCAGCTCACGCGAAGGTGATACCTGTTCATGGAGTGATGGCTCCTGCCTGTATGCGGAGGCGGGCGAACCGGGTATGCCACCTAGTGGTGGTGGCAGTGGCGGCGCTGTTGTTGCTGCCGGTAAGCTTGTGACGCAACAGGGCAATTGATATGCGGCCGGTGTGAGCGATGTGGTCATGTACTTTTAGTGGTTGCCCACAGTGCAGCTGCCGATGTATGGGTATGCTGTAGGGGAAGCAAGTGCAGGTGGTGGCGGCAGCTGTAGCGGCGCGAGCAAGGTTAGCAGCGGTGCAGCGCTAATTTGTGAGTAGTATTAAGCGCTGAATATAACGGTTTAGTATATATATGTATGTAAGTAGTTAAGTATTTGTAGGTTGTATGTATGCGTAGGCTAAGTAAGCGATTTAAGGAAGCTGTAATGGGAAAATGTGTGTATGGGAAGGATCACATAAAGACCGTTAGACACATGGTATAACATGAAACATAAACAGAGCTGATAAAAAGAAAAATAAAAAAATTAAAAATAACAAAGAAAAGACTTTAAAGCAGCACTAGCTGCCAACTGACTGACAGTTATCAATATTTCAATGCACTAATGGCATTTGTTTTCGTTGCCTACCTTTAGGCGTTTAATACAAATCTAGAATTAATAACACTGCTTGCAACTATTTTGAACATATTTATGAAAACACAAAGTTTCAGACTTATTTTTGAGTGTATTTCACGTATAGGAGCACCACCTCCCGCACTTTCTTGTATGTGCATATTTCGTTTCATTCTAAGTTAACCCTCTAAAGTCGCCTTTTCGCTCTGTGCACACTTTCTCGCGTGACTGCAGCACATTTTGCTTGCCAACAGAGCGTTGCCAAAGCAATTTAACAGCGCACAAACATTAGCAAAATAACAACAACAACACACCGGTAGCGATATATAACACAGTAGATGCTCAAAAATCACCTTCAAACCAACTAAGTTTTGTATCAGCGTGACAATTTTAAAAATGGCCACCCTTTAGTAGCGACTCCATCGCTCAATTCAAATGTAAATTGGCGACAATTTTCTTTCAAATGCAAATAGTGAGCCAGACAGTCCTACAAAGTACTTTTGCTTGCCATTATGGAAGACAAATTATGTTTGTTGACTCTTTCGCATAAATATTACCAATGTATAGGTGCGCTTTTGTTAAACAGTTAAATTTATATAACTGTCTTCTACAGTGGCACATACATATATACAAGTATTTGTGCCTACGCTCAATAGCTTTTCAATATAACTCGGCTTTATGCCTTAACTGCAAACGTTTTGTCTCAATATGTCTTTTCCTCCTTTCGCTCCCTGCTCATTCGCAAATTTTTCAATCACCAAACACGCGATTTACGCTTTCAAACCACTTTGCGTTCAGGCATTTCTCGCGTGGCTTCCTTTGCAATTTGCTCCTTTGCTCCTTAAGGTGGCGGCAAGCCGTTTTTCGTACAATTTATCATAGTGCTGGTATAAATCTTCGGCAATGTAGGGTATAAAAACATAGTTTATGTCCCAATAAATTACCGTTTGGAGTGATAAATGAATGATTTGCTTAGCAGTTGGCGGGCGTGGAGAAAATTCGGTTGATTTTCGTTTAAAAACGCGAAGACACGAGGCACCTGTGTACTTTGATATATTTTGTAGAAATTTTGGAACTTTTTTAAAAGATAAGAAATATGTGACAGGATTTTAGTTGAAGAGAGGGAGGACTTTTTAATGGTCAAAAATAGTTGCAGGAGAATTTATGTTATTGATTTTCAACTTTAACAAAGCTGCCAACTGCTTTAAGAAAACATTACTATACCAGTTTAAGTGCTTCTTTTCTTAAAATAGAATTGGTTTTTTTTTCAATTTAAATATACTTAGAATTATTTGTTTTTCTTCTATATTAAAATTTATCTCTGAACGAGCTTTTGATTTTTTCCCAATCATTAAAAACAGTACTGTTTTAAATTATTTACTATCAAAGTTTGGATATAAAATCATGATTTTTTTTTAGAATAAGGCTCATTTTGGAATGATGGATTCTGAATTCACCGAAAATTGCTTAGTTTTTACATTTTTAAGTTTTCAAGAATTTTGATTAAATATTTCTAATTTTTCTTCTTATGGTTCAAAATTGTTTCATTTCGATAATCCGCATAAAAAGTTTGTTAAAAACATCAATATGTTATATATCTCCTCTTTAACATGCACTGATAAAATCATCTGTTATACTAAGAGCATTTCAAATTAGCAGCACATCTTCAGTAGGTTTGCTCAATAACCCATTTTTGAATAATTTCAACAGCTGCATTTTAAATATGCAACAGAAAAATATAAAAAATTCGAATACTGCAGCCACTTCGGACTTACAAACGAAACATCTGCGCTAACATAAAATGTAAGTGCTGTTAAATTTAACATTTTCCACTGAATTTAACATAGCATTGTCAGCCATATCAACCAATAAGCGGTTAATGAAAAATTTAATTGAAATTCTAATCTTTTTTTTCGAAATTATTAGCTTATTCTCAAAGTAAAAAAAGTTTAATACGAAATTAATTTAAAGCGAAAAAAAATTATTTTACTCGGCAAAGAGATTAAGCTCACAATTATCAGCAAAATGTTAATGATGGGACTTTAGTTTGTATGAAACCAAATTTCTTCTCATTCTGCCACTAAATTGAGTTAAAATCAATTCACAAATAAATACTTTCATAACGATATATATACCATAAATGAAAACAAAAACAATATCAAATGCATTTAAACATGTACCCGTACACCGACAAACACATACAATTAAGACAAATAATATTTTCCACAAACAGCAAACGAAACTGCCATTTTCAATACTAAATAAATAAATTTAAGATACAAACATTAACAAATAAAAAAATAAAATAAAATAAAATAAAATAAAATAAAATAAAATAAAATAAAATAAAATAAAATAAAATAAAATAAAATAAAATAAAATAGAATAAAATAAAATAAAAAAAAATAAAATAAATAAATTAAAATAAAATAAATAAAATAAAATTAATTAAAATAAAGTAAAATACGATATAATGAGATAAATTAAAATGAAACAAAATAGAATTAAAAACAGTAAAATAAAATAAAATTACTTTAAATTTTATTGAATAAAATTAATTAAAGAAAAATAAATATGCAAACATTAAGAGGTGTAAGGATAATCAATCAAATATTTGAAAAATCAAAACACGCTGTGAAGTAAAATAATATATATACATACATACATAGGAAAGAGAAACTTAATGCAGCTGCAGCTGGTAGCAATATCAAGAGTAATTAAGAGTGTTGAATGCATTTGGAGCTCATAGCTAAGTTCAAGACATTTACAGGCCATAAAATATAATGGAAATTTCGAAAGGACAAAGCACAGGGTAATACAATACAAATATAAAGAAATTATTGAATAAATGTGTAAATGTGGCAAATATTATTTTTTATTAAAAAGAAAAAACATTAAAAGGAAAAGTTTTCTGATTGAAACAATGTGAAAACACAAATACGTACTGAATTGAGTGAATATCCAAAAAAATTGAAAAAATAAATAAATAAATAAAAAATATCGAAATATGAATTAAAAAAAAAAATAAAATATAAATCAAAAATTATTAGAAGCAAGTTAACTATTTAAAATACATATACGTTGTACATAAAAGGAATAAAATTTAACGAAAAATCAAGTGTCATATAAAAACTAACGAACTTTACTGCTAAAAAAAACTACCTTTGATAAGAATTAATAAAGAAAAACTTGTTAAATGTGTAAGTGTAAGGAAGACCCTTAAAAAATTGAAAAATTCTTTGTGCAAAAAAGTCTAACAATAAATACCGTTATATATATGTACATACCAGCAAACATTGCATGTATGTATGTGCTGCGTGTTCACCGTAAAAGAAATAACTTTCTTATAAATAAGTAAAACAAAAAACATTGCATAAAACTGTAAATTTATGAGTATTGAACGCATACAATGAATAATGGTTAGTGGCTACTTACTATAATTATGTATAGCTGTAATAATGCATTGCTGCAGTTAATTTTTAATTAAATGTAGTAGCTGTAATCTATTACATAGACACCACATACCAGTGTTTCATGACGATCTATTTCACATTTTTTTCTGCAAAGAAAGAAATTTTGAAAAACAAAATTAAAAAATAATGAAAAAAATTGGACTCTTAAGTCTCAACAAAAAAAAAAAGAACAATTTAAATTTTAAAGCAAGAGCATTTATTTAACATATTTTTTTTTATTTTATTNATATTTTTTTATTTTATTTTGTTTAGTTTATTTTATTTTTTTTTAATTTATTTTATTAAGTTTTATTTTGTTTTATTTTATTATAATTAAATTTTTTATCTCATTTTAATTTTTATATTTAACTTTTTTATTAAACTATTATATTTTATTTAATTTTTTATATTTTACTAATTTTTTTATTTGTATTTTCTTCTATTGTATTTTAATATATCTAATTTTATTTAGTTTAATTTATTTTAATTGTATTTACTTTTAATTTCATATTATTTTATTTTTATTTTGTTGGTTTGCTTTTGTGCCTAAAAATTTAACTTCCAGGAATGACGAATTAACAACCGTTAGAAACATTTAAATTTTAATTTTTAATTCATAAAAAAATGTACCTGTGATATTGCATATTTCATTACAATTAAACGTATTGTAATTTCATTTTTTACAAGAACGAATTCTACATATTATGAAAAATAAAACTAAAAATATATTGTAGAGTCATCTACTTACATGTACATGTGTAAGTGTATAAGTTGAAAAAGTAATGCATTAATTTAATTATGTAGCTATAAATATTTGTATAATTGTAAAAGCCACACCGGGTAGTGAATTCAAAAAAAAAATATATATATAGTGCATTAATTAAGGGTAAAGAAATTAATAATAATAATTATCTCATAAATATTTCATATTATTTAGTAATTAACAATTACATACGTTTGTTAGGAACAATTATTGTACAGCAAAAAATTCTTAAAAAACTACTTATCTGCCATCAGAAAACATTTGTTTTTGTTTGTGTAATAAATTAGCCATTATTTAAATTTTTTTAAAGAAAAAGTGTGAACATTGCATTTTGAAATTTTAATTCTTTTAATAAATACATACTTTCTAAATATGAATTTAAAGTTTTAAAATATATTTTTCCCAATAAAAATTTTTGCAATTGACGCCTTGAAATAGTTGCCCAACCCTTTAATAAGGCTCGACATTGGCTTAAGTGGTTCTCCATGGAAAGTTCTAAGAATGAGAATTTCGTTCTTTTAGAATGATTTCTTACTTAATAAAAAAATAGTCAAAGAATTCATGAGTTAACTCAAATCGAGCAGAAAGCACGCACAGTTGCAGAGACAAGGCACAAAAACATTAGCCATTTTAATACCATTGAGTGCGTTTATCAAAGGCATTTAAATACATTTTCAATTTGAAAATTAAGCATTTTTATACAAAAAGTTTAATTTAATATTACTTGCATTTAGCTTGTATGAGTGCAACAAAAGCATTTCAATTGCCAATAATTGTAAATAAATTTAATATGCATTTTTTTCCAGAAACAAAGTATGTTAATGAACTGAAAACACAAAATTTATGATGAATTAATTATTACGATATTTTTTGCATTTTTTTCTACTACTCACAATTGTTTTTTACATATTCATTTGAGTTACCTAAATACATACACACAAGCAAACATATTATTATAAGAGTAATCTATATTAGTAGTAGTAAATATAGACTCGTGTAAATTGCATTGTAAAATGTTAAATATAAAATTAATTATTAATTGTAGTCCTGTAATATTAACTGCAGTTTTAATACATATGCATGCATATATATTACAAAAATACATCAAATTATTGTTATATATAAACATATTATTGGTTTGCATGTATATATATTTGTATTTACATTGTTTCATGAAATTAAAACATTCAATTAAACTTAAGTGTAAATTTAGCTATAAACACACATAAAAACGTAAATACATACATACATACACATATAGTTTTAATGTAATTGAATTTTGTAATAAAGTTGAAAACTATATAGAAATTGAAAAACGAGAAAAAAATAATTTCAAACAATGAATTATTTCCTAAATGAAAATCATGAAACAAAAAAAAATTTACAAAAACATTTAGAAACGGCCATAAATAAACCATATGTGGAAAACGAAAGAAAAAAAGAGAGAGAAAAAATATATCAGCTAAAAAAAATTGAGAAAAATTAAATTAAATAAATTATATGTAAAATTATATAAAATAAAAAAGAATAAAATTATGTAAAATAAAATGAAATAAATTAAAATAAAATAAAATAAAATAAAATAAAATAAAATAAAATAAAATAAAATAAAATAAAATAAAATAAAATAAAATAAAATAAAATAAAATAAAATTAAATTAAATTAAATTAAATTAAATAAAATTAAATAAAATAAACTATAACATAATATAATACAATATATTATATTATATTATGTTATATTATATATTATTTATTATATTATAACATAATAAAATAAAAATAATAAATTAAATGAAAAAAAATTAAATGAAATATAATAAAATAAATTAAACTATATATAATAAAATAAAATAAACAAAATACAATAGAAAAATAAATAAAATAAATACATCAAATAAATATCAAAATCAAATAAAAAAATTAAGTAAAATGTAAGATATTAAAGAAATTCGAAAATGAAAGCAAATAATTTAAATCGAAGAAAAGAAAAAAATTAAATTAAAATAAATTAAATAATTTAAAATAAAAAATAATTAAAAACAAAATAAAACTAAATTAAACAAACTGAAATAGCGAAAAATTATATTAAATAAATAAATCAT